TCCACGAACTCGCCCCAAGATCACCGCCCATTTCCCCCACCCTCGCCGCCGGCGAAGACGCGCCGCAGCAGACGAGGCGGCCGTTTTCATCTCATCATCTGTTCGGAAAATCTTCTCTTCTCGCCATTCCGGCGCCGCCACCGCCAGAAAAGAAAGGTTGGGTCTTGGTAAAAAAAAAAAAAAACTCATCCTTGCGCTCGCGCTCGTCGGCGATCGATCCCCACTCACCTGCGACGGCGAGCAGCGGCGCCCGCGAGGGGAGCAGCCCGTCGTCCCGCTGCTTCCGCCTCCGGTGAGCACACCCACGACGCGCATCCTTATCTTCTCTTCTAGATCTGGAACCTTAATACTAAATTAGCAGTTCTTTTGCCCAATTTTTTTTTCTGGGGGTTAGGTCTGCTCCTGCCAGTGGAGATGGTGAGGGTGAGGATGGGAGCAGCGGTTCTTGGGGTGGCAGTGGTGGTGTTGGCGTGTGTTTTGGGAGCAAGAGCAGATGGCTCCGATCATAGATACAAGGATGGAGATTATGTCCCGCTCTACGCCAACAAGGTCGGCCCTTTCCACAATCCAAGGTAATGATGACATGATTCTCGGCTTCTCGGGCGCAATGTAACCGCATTCGGTAGTTTCTTTCTTTTCTTTTTTGTTTGTGGAAGTGTGGGCTTTTCATTGTTTTACCATGTTTGCCTGCCTAGAGATTTATGTGGGCTAGGCTGAGATTACTGTTTAAATTATGTTGCTCTGATGATAGGTTTGACAGCTACTGTTTGTATGAGTAGAAATCAGTTTTATGCATTGGTATCATTTACTCCCTCCGTCATGAAGACTGCCTTCCGTCTAGATTCATAGTACTAGGTTGTGTGAAAACCGGTACTATGTTGTTATATTTTGGGACAGAGGAAGTTGTTACTAATCAGCAGTTGTGCAAACCTTCTTTCACTCCTAGGACTTGGGTTTTGCTATACTAGTTAGTATACTCCACTAGCAGTTGTTATAGGGCCCTATATGATTTCATATCCATTGTACGGTAGTTCAATCGTGTAGAAAGGTGCTCTATATTGTGCTCACAGGTTATTGGCAATTCAATGTCTCAACAACGAAATTTACAAGAGATGACCTGTGATGTATTTTATGTTAGCTGCCTGCTATGATTTCTCTGCCTATCTATTTAGCTCATTATTAATCGAGTTGCCTACTGTGTACTGCAGTGAGACGTATCGGTACTATGACCTACCCTTTTGTGCACCAGGTTTGTAATCTTATAAACACCATTTTTCTAGATTGCTAGTTGCTACCGTCCTCTATGGAAAATTCTTGGGCATGTTCTCTGTAGGAACATATACCAAGTAATCCCAATCATTATACCAAAGTAACCGTATCGAAAGTTTCAGTACTTGAGCTGCATGTATAATGTTTTGCTTCCAACTTCCTGTGTGCATCTGTAAATCAATGTCAAGCATGTAGTAGATGGGTATTAAAAGAAAAGAACACACAAAGGTTCTTGAGGAATCACATGCGCTCAACAAACATCCGCAAGTCTCTGGAAAATATACACCCAATAATGTTCAATGGAGGGACTATTTGCTTCATATAGCTATCCCTTCTATTATTTTTTTGATAGTTTTTCTGTTTTTAACTGTTCGCTTGTAATAGATCATCCAAAGGACAAAAGGGAAGCCCTTGGGGAGGTTCTAAATGGTGATCGATTGGTTGATGCACCATATGAGTTGAATTTCAAGGAAGACAGGAACTCCAAGGTTCTTTGCCAGAAATCATTGTCGAAGGTGGAAGTTGCAAAGCTTCGAGATGCAGTTGCAAAGGATTACTACTTCCAGATGTACTACGATGACTTGCCATTATGGGGATTCCTTGGTAAATTGGACAAGGATAAGGAGCAGGGCAATGCAAAGTACCTGCTCTTCAAGCACATCCACTTTGACATAATGTACAACGGTGATCGTGTCATAGAAATCAATGTTCAGACAGACCCAAATGTGGCTGTTGACATCACAGAGGACAAAGAAGTGCAAGTAGAGTTCTCCTATTCAGTGACATGGAAAAAGACAGATATTCCTTTTGAGAAAAGAATGGAGAAGTACTCCAAGTCTTCATCTATGCCACAACATCTGGAGATCCATTGGTTTTCCATAATCAATTCATGCGTAACAGTACTACTCCTGACTGGTTTCTTGGCTACAATCCTGATGCGTGTCCTCAAGAATGATTTCATCAAGTAAGACCTTAACCAATGTATTCTATTCTCATCAGTTGGATTATGTCTTAACTGAAGGATATTTAATTTTCCATTTCATTAAAGATATTCCCATGAAGATGAGTCCCTCGAAGACCAAGAAGAAACTGGATGGAAGTATATACATGGTGATGTCTTCCGTTTTCCTCAGCAAAAATCTCTTTTTGCAGCAATTGTTGGGTCTGGAACTCAGCTGCTTGCCCTGTAAGAACATCTTCAGTTTGATTTATGCTCAGATTCAAACTTTCTTCACCCAATCCTAACAAGTGACAAATGCTTCTCATTTGGTAGTGCAATTTTCATCTTCCTCCTTGCCATCGTTGGTGTATTCTATCCATACAACAGAGGAGCACTTTTCACTGCCCTTGTTGTCATCTATGCTCTTACATCTGGTATTGCGGGATACACAGCCACCTCCTTCTATCTGCAACTGGAGGGAACAAACTGGGTAAGGACTGCTTCAATGGTGCAGCTATCAAGGTACTAAAGTCTATTATATTTTTTTGCTGCTGTGTGTTAACACATTCTATCAATGTTTCAGGTCAGGAATCTGATATTGACTGGCTGCTTATTCTGTGGACCTCTCTTCTTGACATTCTGCTTCCTAAACACTGTTGCGATAGCGTACAGTGCTACAGCAGCTTTGCCTTTTGGTACTATCATTGTCATTATTCTCATCTGGGCCCTTGTAACCTCTCCTCTCCTTGTGTTGGGTGGTATTGCTGGGAAAAATAGTAACACAGAATTCCAAGCTCCCTGCCGCTCAACGAAATACCCTAGGGAAATTCCTCAGCTACCCTGGTACCGAAGCACCATTCCTCAGATGGCAATGGCAGGGTTCCTCCCTTTCAGTGCTATTTACATCGAGCTGTACTACATATTTGCCAGCATCTGGGGGCATAAGATATACACCATCTACAGCATCCTTTTCATTGTGTTCATTATCCTCATCATCGTCACCGCGTTTGTCACTGTGGCACTTACATACTTCCAACTTGCTGTCGAGGATCATGAGTGGTGGTGGAGGTCAGTGTTCAGAAGATCAATTCTTCTTGATTTGTTAAATCCTTGCATATTGATTTTTTTTCTCTTATTGTTCATATTTACTGCTCTACCATTTTTGCTCAACTAGACAAATAAAAACTAAAAATGGAAAGCTCGGGGAATTGTGCAAAAAAGAAATCACTTGATAGATTGCTAACTTCAGAGTTTATCTGAGAGTCGTATGTATAGAATGCTTTAGCTATGCATAAGAAAACAGAAACTTATAAACACGCGAGCATGCACCAAAAAATAGAACACTAGAAGTTTGTAAAGCACCAGAGCTTTCATGAAATCTTCAATGACATTTCCAAATGGTGCTCTCTTTTTGGTGTCTACTGTGCTGTATCAACTGGAATATGGGAATAGGTTGGCACTAAATTAAGATGCTGAATCAGGATCTATTAAGACTAGAGGGATCAAGGATATAGTGAAAATATGACATCTTAGAGATGTTTGAAGTAAAAAAAGCCATGTGTTCGGCAGCCATGTGTTAGGCAACCATGTTGGAAGCATCATATTCATAGTTTAATCTCTTTGCTCTACTCTTACATTTTCAACCTGTGTCCATGTTGCTCTTTGCACTTGATCTTTCTGGTGGAATAAAAACCATGATGGAAGCATCATATCCATAGTTTAATTTCTTTGCTCTTACATTTTCAACCTGTGTCCATGTTGCTCTTTGCACTTGATCTTTCTGGTGGAATAAAATCTGTGATTATGTGCGTGCAGATCGGTCCTTTGTGGAGGTTCCACTGGTATATTCATTTTCTTCTACTGCATCTACTACTACCATGCCCGATCAGACATGTCAGGCTTCATGCAGACATCCTTCTTCTTCGGCTACATGACCTGCGTCTGCTATGGCTTCTTCCTCATGCTGGGCACCGTTGGTTTCCGCGCATCGCTGCTGTTTGTGCGGCACATTTACCGCTCCATCAAGTGCGAGTAACCTAGACTGCAGTGACAGACATCAGACATGGCTGCCACTAGGGCAGCTTGTGAGAACCAAATGCACAACCTGTTCCACCAGATTGTACCTGAATTTTGTGCCTGTTGTTAATGTGAACCAATTCTCTCTTGTGTTTACTGTTTGCATCATCTTCTTGCACTTCTCCAGAGAAGGCTATTATAGTGTAGGACATCAATCAGAGCCACCGTACAATGATATATATATATATGTATCTCCTCTTGTTGAGTTCAATGTAACCTTCTAATTTGTTCCTGAATTCTGTTCTGTTCCTTCCCTTTTGCTGGTTGGTATGTCTGTACTGACTGTGAATCTGTGATTACCTGGTGGAATATGAAAGACTCAGAGAAATGTTTGCAGCAAGATCAATCAGGTTCGTCAGCCTTGCACCTGGTCTAGACATTCCAGGTAAATGTAAATGGGCTCAAAGTACACATAAAGTGGTGTTCAATTTTTTTTTATGAAGGTACGAATTTTATCTTGTTTTCGATTAGTACGTTTTTTAAATTGTTAAACGGTTTATTTCGTGCAAAAACAACTTTCTATACAGAAGTTGCTTTAAAATATCAAATAAATTAATTTTAAAATCTTTAATAATTAAAACTTAATTAATCATGTGTTAATATGCTTGTTTTTTTACGCGCACTAACTTCATCATTATCATTATCTTCATTAGAAAAGAAAACTATCATAGCATGCAAAGCAAATGGGCTCAAAGTGCACTTGGCATGGAAAGCAAATGGGCTCAAAGCCCATCTTTTTCTTTCCACTTTGGAGTTTGGAGAGACCGAGACGCTGGATGAACTGAACCCTGCGCCGCCGCCGCCGCCGCCGCCACCGTAGTCAGCAAGCGACGACGAGATGGTAAGATCCTGAGTCGTATTCATCCTCTGCGCGCTCGCTCGATTTGGTTGCGTTGTCCTCCGGGAACAAGAGGTGCGCGCACTGTCGTCGCCGCCTCCGACTCCGACGACGACGAACAACTCCGCCACGTCGGATTTGGCATGGCTGCCGCGCCGCCGGCGTTCACCGGGAACCTCAAGGTGAGTGGTGGTGGCGGCTTGATCAGATTGGTTGATTTGACGTGCTTTCTTTTCGTTGATTGCAAGTTGGGATTTTGATAGGTACTCACTGTCACCTCCGTGAAAGAACCACCTTTTGTTAGTTATATGTAGATATCTACCAGTTCTTGCAGAATTCTTGATTTTGTAGTAAACTATAGTTACCTAAATAACCATCCCATATCTACCTGTAGTTTTGGTCTCTTTAGCTTTGGACTTACATGGGTGCAGTTTCTGAACAATTTACCTACTACCAGTACTGGCACTGACAGTCGTCTCTGTCTGAACTTTGCAGAAAGCACTTGCAGGATTGAGAAGGATCAATTTAGATGGGTTGAGATGGCGTGTATTTGATGCAAAGGGTCAGGTTAGCAATCCTTCTGATTTTGCTTCAATTTACGGAAGATGTATTTATGTGGAATGCAGGAATGGTTATGCAGTAAGCTACTTTGCTGTTTATGTTGATAGGTGCTTGGACGGTTGGCATCCCAAATTGCTGTTGTGCTTCAAGGGAAGGACAAGCCAACTTATGCACCACATGTGGAAAACGGGGACATGTGTGTCGTACTTAACGCGAAAGATATCAGTGTCACGGGAAGGAAAATGACTGATAAGATTTACTACTGGCACACAGGGTCTGTATGTTTCTAGCAAATAGTACTTGAAATGTTGAATACCTCATTTGGTTTTACTAACAATTGCCTATCCTGTTCGTTTTTCCCTCGAAAGGTATATTGGCCATTTGAAGGAAAGAAGACTCAAGGACCAGATGGAAAAGGACCCAACCGAGGTGATTCGCAAAGCTGTGATGCGCATGCTTCCCCGCAATAGATTGCGTGATGTAAGTACCATTTGTTTTCACGAGTCAGGATTAGACATTAATTCATTGTCTAAGTTTGGTTGATGACTTGTTAGATTTAGCTCCTGAGTTTTCTATATACTCTTTGTCTGCCCAAAATGTAATGTAATATTGTAATGATTACTGTGTGCATCTTCATGCCAATGCTTCTACATATGTGTTAGCTATATGATATTATCTGTTCAATTATAGTATTATAGACTAGGCAGTTTCGTCATGCATTGATGCACAAGCAGCAATGCTACTTTCTTATTATTCATTAAGCCATGGGATTCTAGTATATTAGCAAACCCTTCTATCTCAAGACTTGGAGATTAATTTTCGAGCTTGCATTTTGTATAACATAGAACAAATTCAGTGTCCTATCATAAAATTTACTTTAACCATCAGTTCTTTTGTGTTGTTACAAGTGACTGATATCATATATGAATTTGTGCACTGATTTGTGACGACATTTCCTTGTTACAACTCTGTTTTGTTTGAGAGTCCAAACCATTTTCTCCTGGTATAAAGCAAATATTTGGTCAATAATCTATGCTTTCTATTATTTTCCCCTTAAAATTGTTGAAGGGGCTTTAATGATACTTCTACTGCCTGTTAATCATCTATTGTTACAACCCTCCAGGATAGGGATCGCAAACTGAGGATATTTTCTGGAAGTGAGCATCCCTTCCATGATCGCCCTCTTGAACCTTTTGCGATGCCACCGCGTCAGGTGCGCGAGATGCGCCCCCAGGCAAGACGGGCACTTATTAGGGCGCAGAAGAAAGAGCAGGACAGAGCAGCAGCATCAACCAAAGATGACAAAGATGGTAAGAGTGCCAATACTGATGTCACTTCATAGGCATCTTGGGATTATTTTTGGCATGTAGCCTGTTGAGCTGAATATGCACTACAAGTCTAGGACCATGTAACTTGGAAATGAGCAGCCCAATCTGGATATCTTTCTATGTTATATACAGCATATAATACTCAAATTACATTGTTGCTAATTCCTCCAAGGGAATAAATTCCTCATCTGCATTTTCTGTTCTGTCCATTTGGCTCTTGGATTGTGCAATAATCAGATTATATCGAAATGTTCAGTATACTGGTTGAGTGGGCTCAAAGTAAACTATGGGCTTCGGGCCTCATAGTAAGAACATATTTTCCATTCTGTCCCTCTTTTTTTTTCTGAACCAAAAAAAAAAGGAAGGCAGAGTGAGTGAGTGAGAAAGGGGCATGAGATCAGAATCATGAGATTCAGATATCCTTGGATAGCTTGGTCTCTTGGAATAACTAGAAAAGGCTGGATATGACCATGTATGTGCTATGTGCATATATGGTTGCCTGCAGAGGAGGAGGACAAAGGAAAGAAGATGCTTGAAGTTAAAGGGAAGGCAAGGAAAAAGGCCACACTTGGGGACAGAAAAGAAAGACTGATTTTCAACAAGCATGGAATAGCATAACATTTTTTGATAGGAACCTCCCCTCCTCATCAAGAACTGATGGAAATGCCCAACTGGTAGCTTTTAACTCAACCGAATATATGTGGCAAATGTGCAACCGACACTAGCCTCAATTATTCTTTTACACCTTCTAACTGTAAATAATTTAGATCATGGAGTAACCTTTAAAAAGAAGGATGTATCATTTTCTTTGCATATTTTAATACATGCGGTTTTATTTTCCTTAAAAAAACAAGCTCGGAGTTAAGAGAGGATAATCATAGGACTCACGAAGAATATAAATTGACAAGCTATCTAATTAATACGATGTGAACTGTTCGTGTTTCTCGGGACGCTGATATGATAAAACATACCGCTAGTCGCCGTGGTTTTGGGACTCAAGGTTGAGGGGATAACAATTTTGGGTGCATGTAGCTATCCCTTTCCTTGTATTCTTGCAAGTCGAAAGCTCTGTTTGGCTGGCTTTTCCGATGAGGATAGGTCGCTCTCCCAAAAACCAACTGTGCTCGGCTTGGTACCCCCAACACGTTGCATCTTTGAGTTCTTATACATTTCTACCCTTTTCATGCTTGTGATTCCCAAAGCAAGCAGTCCAGTACTCATATGGATTCAGTGTTCATTTCTCTCTTTCCTTTCCTTTTCTTAGCTGACGATAACAAGTGGGATAAAAGAATTTGCAAAATTTCAAATAAAGCTTATGGACGAAAACAAGAAACTCGGTTAGTGATAGTGTTGCCATGACATCACCGCAGTTGGTAAAGACAAATCCATAACCTAAAACTGGTAAACATAATCCGTAGTCAAAACACACAACGATTCTATAGTGTGAATTGCGTAGCAATTTCTCAGTGGCTTTTTGCCTATCAAGATAAGTCGTTATGTCCAGCCCACGATAAATTAACACGAGTATCACAGGAATATTATAGTGAAAAAGTTTAACATCTATTGAAAGTAAATAAACAAGATCCCCACCAACAAAGGGGTCCATAGAAAGATTTTTTTCCATGGTCAAAATTAATGACAACTCCTTAATAGTAGACTTTACATAGTTAATGGTGGTGAGGTAGGAGTCCATAACCATAAGGAAGAGAGAGATGCGTCCATCACCATTCACCCGTCCTTTTCAGCCACAACAACAAATTCCTGATAGTAAATTATTAACCTATCTTTGCTGCCCATGCTAGAGAGAGAATCACACAAAGAGAGAGAGAGAGAGAGAGAGAAAGAGAGAGATCCAGACAGCGATGGCGTCTCATCTACTACTCCTCATTTTCTCTTCACCAACATCTCATCTCACGATATTATCGCGATATCTCGGGGACCAGGACGCATGCAGCCGGTTGGTTGGGAGCTAGGAGTACTTTCTGGAGTACTAGTAGCTCGGATCCCTTGCGTCATTTATTTATGTGTTTTGAATCTGATTGCAATGTGATTACGGGGATGTTCAGATTGTAGCAAAAATAAATCTTACCAAGTTTTGATAATATCAAAAATTTAGTAAGATGGTAATATTGCTAAAATTTTAGCAGTATTTCTTATGTAATGACTAAATTTGGCAATAAATTAAACTTAGACATTTTTTTGACAACTTTATAAAAAAAATAGTATGGTTGAAAATAGCATCAAAGTGAACAGGGCTTGCAAGTGATTACAACGATGTAGAGAGAGAGAGTGATTCTTGTAGTAGCACTAGTATTTTGTTTAGAGCAAGTTTTACTCTTAATTAATTAAGAAAAGTTTTAGGGTTTCAGCTTTTCCCTCTCTCTCTCTCCTCTTGTCGATGTCGACGTCCTCCAACCCAATAATCTCTCTATCTCTATCTCTTCCCTAGAGAGAGAAAGCTTGAGAGGGTAGATATGGGGACCCTGCTATGGGTACCAACAGAGATAGATCTTGTGAGGTTTTATTTTACAGGGTTGCAGTACTTGTCTGGACTTAATTATTTGTCAGCAGGATATCAGTAATTTTCATAGAAGTATGAGGATATATATATATATATATATATATATATATAGTAAATTTGTTTGGTGCTCCATGGTGCCCGGGCACCATGATTGAAATTTACTATATACCCAATTCAAATGAGTATGAAACTTTTTCAAATATTTAGGTATTAACGTTAACTACTTTACTAACTAGTTCAAAGCAAGTTTGAACTGAATTCAAACTTGCTTTTGTTAGATTTTGATTCTAGGTATATAGCATCCAAACATATAATTAGTTAGGTATGTAATAATGGATTGTGAAATAAAGTTAAATTTGAGTTGTTTTGTTGCTAGGTATAGGTATGAATCGAATACTTATAACTAGGTATATACTCACAATTTGAAAATTTTAAAAAATTTGGGCGAATTTGTGTATTTCATACCATGGTGCCCGGGCACCATGGTGCCCCATATGAGTGTCCTATATATATATATATATATATATATATATATATATATATATATATACTTTGTTCTATTTTACTAGAGTTGAAACGTTGCTCTATAAATTTTCTACTTAAAATCATGTGAAGCCAAGACAGTTAAGTACTACCTCCGTCTCAAAATATAACAACTTTTACTTATGAATCTGGACACACGGTTGTTCAGATTTATAGCTAAAAATACTTATATTTAAGGACGGAGGGAGTAGTTCACATGTAAGTTCTCGTCGCTTTACTACAACTGACAAGCCGCGAAGAAAATGAACGAGGCTACCAAAAATAATGTAGTTATTGGCTGCTTTGTTAGGGCATCCTTAATGTTTGTGGTGTAGTGTAACCTTAAGGTGGGCCCTATGAATAGTGAGCCATTGTTATAGCCATAACCACAATGCTATGGTTAGAATTTAGCCACAAGAGGGCCCACATAGAATGGAAAAATAATTGTTTCATCTCTTGTTCATGAAGTGAATGAGAGAGAAAAAATATTTTCTTTTTGCTTGTGGTAGAACTTAAGCATAAGGTGCACCCTAAGCTAATGCTACTTTCCACAATGTATATGGCTCACTTTACAAAGTACAATCATTGCCTTAAAGTCATCTTTTTCATACATTGTGGTTGTCCTTATGATTATTTTTGAAACCGGACTTTGTAATGAATAGTCACCTATGTACTTGGAATCCGATGCAAATTTTGCACATGTAGAGAGGACAAATTAAGCGAATCAGCATAATTGACTCTATTATCAATTAGAGGGCCAGCCATGTATGCTATATAAGAAAATGAGCTTATATACTGCCACCTTAAAACTCTTGAATAATCATAGAGTAAAAAATATTAGGATTTAATATGTAAAAGTGATATTATTAGATTTGTCACAAAATTACTTTCATATGGTTATATTTTTAAAATATATAATAAGAAAAAGTAATAATGAAACAATGAATTTGAGACTGTGTTGTCTTAAACGAAGAGTAAAAAAGAACATGTATAGTGTATGTACTTCTAGAATTTTTTTTCACCAGTTGAGGAGAAAACACTACTATCTCCGAGCTAATAATACTTGTCGTTTTTTACAAGGGTGAAGTCTAACTTTAGAATCTTTGATTGCGAATCATTTTTAAAATATTTATATTTTAAATATGGTGACTACATGTATAGATTAGTCTTAAAAAATACTTTAATAAAGTTATATATTTGTAACACTTTTATACATATTATAATAAAAAATAATGGTCAAAGTTATTTTTTTAGACCGTGTCTATGTCCAAAACGACAAGTATTATCAACCCGGAGGGAGTATTATGCCCCATATTAAATGAGTTGTGTTTGGAGGAGTGGAAGGGTAGTTGGAGTAAGTTTGGATGAAATTTATGTTTTTTTTAATGATGAAAATGCCAGACTTTGCTTGAACAAAAGCTACATTTATGCACCAATTTTCAATGTTAGAAATGCGTCTAGTACTAGTATTTGGGAACGAAGGGAGAGTACCCAAGTGTTCACCAGTTTTGGTCCTATGATAGATGGACAACGGATGAGTGAAAGTAGAAAGAGGGTTACCTTGTGGGGGCAAAGACAGGCACTGGAGTGAGTTGTCTACCGACGAGTCTAATCAAAAAGAGAGGAAGAGAGAGATATGAAAACTTGAAAGAACAGTACTTCTAGTTGTGTATGTGTGTGCCCACCCAATTTGGCATGACACTGGGAAAGAAATGCTAGGCTCACTAGGCTCTGTATACATCTCACCCTAAAATTTTTCACCCCTGTCACATCAAATATTTAAACACTTATATGAAGTATTAAATATATGCTAAAAATAACTAATTGCACAGATTGCTACTAATTTGCGAGACGAATCTCTTAAGCCTATTTGCTCCATGATTTGACAATATGTGCTACAGTAAACATTTGCTAATGACAGATTAATTAGGCTTAATAAATTCATCTCGCGGTTTACTGACGGATTCTGTAATTATTTTTTTTATTAGTGCCTGAACACCCCATACGACACCCTATATAATATCCAATGTGACACCAAAACTTTACACCTCTGAATCTAAACACCCCCTAACCTTTTGATATGAGAAGCAAGCACATGTTTCCATTTTGTATAAGCTTGGGTGTTGGTTTTTACTTAGCCATGATGGAATTTATTAATGGCAAA